AGGTCTTACCGATTTTGGACAGACCTCCATCTTACTTGGCAGTGCTGTTGCGTTTTCTATTGCCTGGAAATGCTCCCAGTGATAGTCCTCTGGTGTGCAAAATTGGGGGGATTAGTCCTGTATCCCTGTGCTGTGAAGGTGGGCACAGGGATTGTCTTCCTCCGGGTTACCCTGGATGCATTCATAACCTCTCGGTGTAAGTGGCAAAATGCATGGGACGATCACCTTCTTCACGAGATATTCTTGTCTTAAAGTGACTGTGAGTTTCTAACATGACACAAATATGCTACGATTTGTTCAAGCTGCTCTCGTTCTCAACGCTAGCTGCTCAGGTACCTCCATATGCTATTTACATGAAAATGATGATATAGACTGGAGTTTTCAAGAATTTCCAACATGTAGTAGGCCTACGAGCGATGAATCTTGGGAAAGTGATACAAAATGACTTTCGAGTTGACGTGAGGTCACCAGATTGGGTTCACCATTGCGAAGGCGGGTAGGGTTTACACCAAGGTAGGGTAAGGTAAGGTAGGGACGAATCTCGCACCCAGTGTGTGACGACCACAGACTGGTACATTTCCGAGCTGCAGGGCTATCCACAGCGCTGCATTAGACATATCCAACGCAGCTTTCGCCTCGAGCTCAGGTACATCAAGAGCAGGTTTTAATAATTATCCAAGGCGATTGATCAAGTTATCATACGTGGAAGATCAGAAGGCGCTGTAAGCGTAGTTCGCCTTATACAAAGACGAATGATTCTTCTCTTAGATTTTTTTTTCTTAAAAAAAATGCCTGAATCCATGCGGCCGCATCAGTTGATCAAGTTTGAACTTGAAGTTGAGTTAATTAAGGGCGAACCTTTGGGGTTTGACTGAGCCGATGGTTAAGTTGATTACCGAAGTTGCGTTGAGTGCACAAGTTGCACCTTTTGTGGGGCCAAAAAGTATCCCACCCGGGCCTTCAGCTCGTGTCATTGTACCCAACCAGTGACATTTTGTATGCCACTGGCTGACGTTGAGAGATTCGATCGCTTTGAAAATGCTCAACCATTTCAACGATTCATGGTGCAGGCAGATGCATTCACTGCCAACAAACAGGGCGCAGGCGTATGGCTCGTATAATCCTTCTCCGTGGAACGACAACATTGGAATGAAAATGGCAGGCAAATGTGACATCTGCTCACTTTTCGTCAGGAGATAGCTCGGTTGCCGAGCAAAAATCGCTCGGCCGAGCAGAGCTCGCAGCTGTCTGCTCTGTTAGGTTAGGTTGTCAACGAGGAAGCAGACGGCCATTGACAGGCGTGTAATCAGATTGATTGATTGATAAGATGCATGTAAGGTACTTCGACGTGATAAGATTGGACGAGCATGGTTCATGGGTACCGCATACGCGATCCCCACGCTGTAACCCTCCGGGTCTTCGGATACTCCACGTCTGCATCAAGAAGAAGCATGCGCCGCCGTATTGGCATACATTTGAAAAAGCCTTGGTAGCCCTTAGCGTGCGCCTCAGCCTTTTAACCGAAGTAACCTTGGTGACTTCGTGACATACGCTTTCCAACTCTCTTACGAAATAAGCTTACTTACTACCTCGTTCACAATCTGGCAAGGTCGTCCATTGAATGGAGGGGAAGTCGGATCTGGACATGTACGCGTACATCTCCATACTTGGTGACCAAGGATGTACGATGTACCGTCTCTCAAGTGAGAGGCACCCATAGCAAATGCAGGCAAGGAAACGGCACAGAAACCTGATACAGGTGTTCACTAAAACAATCTAACGATATACTACTGGTGTTGCATGTAGCCTCCAATCTATCCTCTTGAGTACATGTACCTAGTGGGAAACAGATCCCACAGACTGCCCATGGCGAGCTGGAAAGTTGGGCTTCCCGCAGGGATCCTCCAACTGCAAGCCCACCTTCCGCATGGCCCGGATCCCGCCGTTCATACTGTCTGCAGCGTATCCTTTCGCGCGGAGAACACTGGTGGCAACGCGGGCGGAGTCCCCATCATAGCAAATGATGAGCGAAAGCTTGCCCCGAAGCTGAGAGCAGATGTCTTCGTTCTCAGAGCTAAGCTTGGCCTCAAGCTCTCGCCAAAGCGATGCCAACACTTTTGGATCTGTGAAGGGGCTCGGAGTGCCTGACTGAATAAGAGGGAAGTTTACAGATCCGGGGAGACTGAACTGGTCGAAGTCCTCGGGTTGGCGCAAGTCAACCACGATAGTGTCTGGCGACGGAGCTATGATTCTTTCCCAGCCTTGCCGCTCATCAGAACGTCTCTTGGACAAGAAGAAAAGGAGATCTCTGGTGAGAACCTTGTCCAGACGGTAAAAGTCGTTTAGGGCCATTAGTGGATCCTTTTCCCAGGCCGAGTCATAGCGGTACAAGTCAACATCACTCAATTCCTAGGCGTTGCTGGATTAGCAGGATGTAGCATACCGCGGGTATGATGAAGAACATATGCATACCGAGTTTCTGATCGGAGGGAACTGCTCAGCTTCCAGCTTGGCAAAATACTCATCCATGTATTGGTACGGGAGGTCGCAACACAAAGTGACGCAGTGAATCTGGCCGTCTTCCCCTGCAAGCTCACTCAAGGTCCCTTCCTTCTTTCTTTTCTCAATGAACTGATAAAGTCCTTGGAGATTAAATCCGGAGGAGGGGCCGCAAACAATGCCGTTCCGGCAAAGTTCCAACGAAAGCGAGTATGAGGGGTGAGATGCAACCTCCTCGATATGATCCACAGCTGACTTCCAGGGAAAGTTGACCGGAGCTAGGAGAGCCAGGGACCGTGGTCCTGGAACTCTGTCGCCTGCGGCAGTGCACACGCTGTGAATGCTGTTAGAAGGCACTATGAAGCGGGCGCATTGGATTCCTTACCCCAAACGGAACACAGATGGGTTCTTCTCCTTGAAGAAGCTCCCTAAGCCTGACATTGTGCCTGGATACCATAGTTTTAGTCTTGTGACGTTGAAGGAATCTCAAAGCTTTTGTAGATTGGGTGTACCAGAAGTTCCCATTCCTGCGCAAATGAGGCTTATTTCTGGGAGTTGTTCCAGAATCTGCGGACCTGTCCATCGCATGTGAGATTGCCAGTTCTAGAAGACTTGATTAGCAACTGTAAAAAATCCGTGACTTTAGGCAGAAATCTCACCAGATCGTTGTTATACTGGTCCGGGTTGAGCACGGATTCAGATTCCTGGGCCCAGCGGTACGCTGCTCGAATGCCGCCACGCTCGTCGTTCGGTTCGGGTTGCGACGGACCGCCGAATAAAGTACTGTGACAGAGCCATGTTGAGCATCATCATGGTGCACAGAAAAGGATGTCACTTAGCCAGATCAGCTCAACTTACATGTTAAGACCAAAGAATTGCATCAATTTCAACTTCGCTGCTGTCGTCTTATTGCTTAGGAAAGCGTGAACATCTCCCAAGTCGTAAAGAACGCGAGACATCAAAGCCATGGAAATGACTGTTGACCCAGAGCTGTACTCAACTACCGTCTTGGTCTTATCGGGCGCAATTCCATGCTCCAGTAGATTGAGAGCTTCGTCGAATCATATATCAGCACCTCTGATTTTGTCTTTTGTAAGAAGGTCTTCTCGACTTGATTACCTGGCATAGATTTGACATTGTTTGCTGGGTGCATAGTCATCATTTTGGCGTAGATGCGGACGCCATCTTTTCGGTAAGGATTGAGGGAGTTGGGAAGCTCCACAAGAGGCAGTGGTGGTGCCCTGTCAGGATTGAAATAGTCCTTAACAGAGTCAGGGCCCTTATAAACGTTGAGATTGTTTCGTGGCTGCATCTCGAGATTGTTGTTGCAAAAAGAAGTAACTAATGTGTGAGAAGTTTCTGTTAGGAAATGTGTAGCTGGGGAAACGTTTAACTGTAGGAATGATAACCGATGAACTTGGTGCTCCAGTCGGAATGATGTTATATTTCAGGGCAGACTGTTCTATGTACTCAACTAAAGCAGCGAGCCTTGATATTCTCGCATATTCATGGCTGGACCAAAAACTCAAATACACCAATGAACGATCTGTCTGAACCATTCGACCGCTTCCGAGCCTGGCGATATTACATCACGCCTACACTCTACACCTCTCCATCGGACGCGGCAGGGGGCACAAGAACTCACGAGTGATTTTCGCCGTCAGAAATCGATCACACCAAACAAATGGCTCACTGGGTCAGTCATGACTCAACTGACAGGAAGTCAGCTTAGCTATGAGAGGTTCATGTTGAAGCTTCCCATACTTACACGATGATATTGTCAACGAAGGGATCGCGAAATGCATACCCCGGTCGCGAATTGACGCCCCACATTCCCCTATAACCTATAGACGTTGTGACGGCCAGGTCCGATAACACCGAAGGGATCCTCTTTTGTCCGAGTGCGACCTGACATTGCTTGTTCTGCGTGATGATCTGCGTCATGTAACCTTGAAGGCCCGTCCCATGGAACTATTAAAGTCTTGGGGGTGTGGACCTATAAGGTAAAGACCTGGCATCGAGCGACATACCTGTCAGTGAAGACCACATCGCAGTAGGTATCCAGACTGTGACGGCGGATGGCGTGTGGAGCAAGCACAATCTATTAAACTGTTAATGGCAACAAGACCGATGAACAGCGGTAAAGATCTCTACCAAACTCAAAAAAGGAAAACCCGGCAATTCCAGCGCAACGTCATTACCAAACACTTTCCTGCTCCACTGACCCTGGCCACTGAATTCGCAATGCTGCGCGTACGGGTGCGGAGTGCTTTACTGCCAAGCAACAAAACGATCTGCCAAGAGGTTCAGAATGTCCTGCCACGTCATTTGAAGCTTTCGAAAGAGTTTGACGTTGGTCTCCAGGAAATCTCCGGGCTATAATTTGCTCCAAGATATCGCTACAGACACAGGTAGCCAGATAGTCAATGGATGAATAGATACGAATTTTTGAAGCATCTTTCCCCCAGATCCGCGCAACTTACCAACTATCTTTTCTAACAATGTTTAAGAGCACCAACTCAGCGAACCGCACCGCTCAGGAGGCTGCGGACATCAATGCCAGCAACCCCGAAAGCTCCCATACGCCAGATACGGCGCTGGAATCGCCGACGCCCACAGACAAGAGAGCAGAGAAACACATGTTCAATGAACAGACAAATTATGTGTCCAAAGTTAAGGTCATCACGGTAAGTCACCCCGCCTCAAAGGACGTTCAGATTGCAATCTTGATTTTACCCCCCCGATGTGATGAAATGACACACACTCACAAGGACAGATTTTTCTAGCATGCGCCAGCGTGGATCTCGTAGCACTGATGGACCAGACCACCTTGGCAGCTAGCCTGTCTATTGTTGGCAATTACCTCCATGCAGGACAACAGCTATCCTGGCTCGCTAATGGCTATTTCATGTACGTTTTGTTTCGGCTGATGACGACTCTTCCTGATCGATACGTCTGCATAGCACATCCACAGTCGGGCAACTCTTGTACGGCCGTCTGTCGGACATATGGTCGCGTAAGGTCATTCTAATGGTCGGGCTGGCCATCTTTGGCCTTGGGTCTCTTGCATCCTCCCTGGCCCAGACAGCTACACAGCTGATTGTTTTCCGCTGTTTTACGGGTCTTGGCGGTGGCGGACTCATGACAGTTGCACAGATGATCGTTAGCGATGTAGTGCCTCTTCGTGAGAGGGGGAAATATCAGGGTATTTTGGTAAGTTTCTCCAGCCGGTCACTTTTACAACTCCACCCTAGACTCTATTCCCTGCCAGAGTATCAGATTTGATCAGATATTCTTTTCTCGCCGGGTAGATGAATACTCACACCCCCATCCCCTGCAACAGCCCCTGTTCTGCTAACATCTTGGCTTCTCCAGGGCGCCGTCACTGCATTGGCCAACGGAATAGGCCCGGTCATCGGCGGCACTCTATCCTCCAAGGGGGGCGACTCATGGCGCTGGATCTTCCGTCTGAATCTGCCCCTAACGGCGCTATCTGCGGGATGCGCACTATTCTTCATGCCCCTCAGAAAGGTCGAAGGGGACTGGAAAGTGTTAGTTGTCTTCTTGTTAACCCACCCCGCACAAGCTGACCAAATGCATCTCAACTTAGAAAGACACGAGCCATTGACTTCGTAGGCATCTTTCTTGCATTGGCTGGCACCACGAGCTTGATGCTTGGTTTAACCTGGGGCGGTGGCGAGTACCCCTGGGCCTCTGCAGCCGTCCTCACTACCCTAATCGTTGGCGCCTTCATCTGCGTCATCTTTGTTTTGTGGCAGTGGAAGGGACCAAAATACCCGCTCGTGCCTCGTAAGATCCCACGTCTCCCTTGCTTACGCTTATAGAACTAACCTATATCCTTCGTACTTACATAGTGGACATCTTCCGCGCCCGAATGACCATTGGTGCATGCATTACAATGGCCATAAACGGCTGGAACTTTGTCGTTCAGGTCTACTACATTCCCACTTTCTATCAGCTCGTCTACAACTATGGGGCCACTAGGTCTGGTGTGATGCTTCTTCCCATCACCCTGGTTCAGACCGCGAGTAGTACTCTCTCTGGACTCATCGTCCACTGGGTGGGACGTTACCGCGAGTGCATCTTGTTCGGCTGGCTCTGCTGGTCGGTCGGTCTGGGTCTCATGTCCACTCTCAACGAAACTTCCGGCCTAGGAAAGCAGATCGGCTATTCCCTGCTCATTGGCGTGGGTGTGGGAAATACTCTTCAGCCGTAAGCATCTAGATTTCGCCCGATGACCGTGTTGTTTACTGATGCGGACGTCGACAGTGCCCTGGTAGCCATCCAAGCGGGCGTCCCAAGAAAGGACATGGCCGTTGTCACATCCTTCCGCAAGTTTGTCATCTCTTGGCTCTGGACTGAAAATGTGACAGTGCGACTTACGCTAGTGACACAGCTTTGTTAGGAACTTGGGGGCTACATTCGGACTTGCCATTTGCGGCACAATTTTGTAAGTCAGCTTCCCAGAGGCATTCACGACTCGCTCTATCGAGCGATGTACTAACATTCCCAAGAAACAACATTGTCAAGAACTCTGTCAATGGCCTGGATCTAAGTGCAGAACGACGAGACTCCCTTCTCAGCAACCCACAGCAATACTTATCGTCACTTTCCGACGAAGACGCGCAACGTATTCGCGACGTTCTCGCCCCTGCGTATCAACGATCGTTCAAGGTCATTTTTGAGCTTGGTTCTGGCTTGGCAGCAGCAGGTTTCTTCGTCGCATGGGTCTTGATGCCACACATTGATTTGGCCCGCCCTGACGACCACAAATTAAAAGAGGAGGGCCATCAAGCGCAACTCAAAGGGAACGCAGAAAAGTCCCCATGATTATTGGTGAGGCTGGCGAAGAGTGTGCTACGTCTCCAACCAGGGCATCTCTAGGGCAATCCGAAAGAAAGCCTCCAGCGATAGGAGGTTGGTAAAAACTTGCGGGGCAGGCCGGAGTCGGCTCAGCTTCTTTTACTCGACAGGGCAAATTCAGCGCTTTCTGGAAGCTGACTGACTTGATTTTTGGAATTACATTGACTGAAAGCGCTTGGTCGGATTGTGACGAAGCTCACTAGTAGCACTCGATCGAGCTTGACTTGGAAATCAAATAAATCTGCCAAAGTGCTTTGTGTCTACATGGTTTGATAAGGGTTGACTGGAAGCAGAATCCTAGCGTTCAGTGACACCATGGCTGAACATGAGGCCATATCCCACCGTCTGCTACCTACATCATGTAACAGTAAACCCAATGCTGATGCGGCAACGCCTGTCCTTGATTGGTGACCGCAAAAAGACCCAGAAATCTTCACTGTGCCCAAAGCTGCTGACACAAGATCCTTGTTGATGTATGATTAGATTGATAAGCATTCTAGCCGCCATGTACTCCATCAGACTAATGCACTCCGCGGACCACAAACCTAAATCTTCCCGGGGTGCCAAGGTCATCTAAATACACGCCATATGGTATCTCCGAAGTGGCCCGACTGTCCGAGGCGGCGAGGTGTTTCTACAATGCAACCCGAACCCGAGCATTTCCCTTACGTGAAGTATGGGAATATGCAATGCAACATAGCCCCAGCCGTTGGAACGCCGGAGTGGGCCAATGCAAGTACCTAGTCTGTAAGTATACATCCGTACTCTAATTTCCAGGGTCCCGAAAGTAGGCAAGATCGTGACATCAAGGTTCGTCTCCAACTATCCCCTCCTTGGACTCGACAACTACCTGACTGCATGCAACAATTTTAATCACTCAGTCACAGTGAATTTCCGACTGGGACTCGGAGGTAACTTAGAATTCAGGTTGCAGCTATACGGGCAAAACTTTTCAATCATTGTCACCAGTCCTAAGTACGTGTCAACATGCGTGATGAGAGGTTTGTAGATGGATTCAGTCCCACATCACAGTGATAGGAATATAAGCAATCGAGTTCCGATTCCGGATCTCAAGATTCATCATTGTTGCCCTTCCAAGTCGCTAGGCTCCCCAGAGTGACAGATATTGTTTACACGCAAACATCACAATTCTCTATCTATCAGCTCACCCTCCCCAAGATGATCCTTCATACAAGCTCAGTCGTGCTGGCTGCCCTGTATGCCGGCTCAAGCCTTGCAGCCGCCGACTCCCAAAGACCACTGCTAAAGGACTTTGACGCTCTGGGCGCTTGGTTTGAGGAAGTAGCCGCCATCAATGCCACTTCTGGCCTTCAAGATGCCGAGCAAGCCAAGAACACCACCGTCGCCATCATCGGAGCGGGTATCACGGGCCTAGCCACGGCCCTTATGCTCGATAGTGTTGGTGTGCACAACTGGGAGATACTCGAGGCTAGTCACCAGATCGGTGGACGCTTGCGGACTATATACGTCGGAAACACCCAAGAATGGGCAGAAATGGGCCCTATGCGTCTTCCATACAAGATCAAGTACAAGAGTGACAATGCGACCCTCGAGTACTCTGATCATGCCATGACGTTCCAGCTCGCAGATTGGCTCAATGAGATGAACGAAGACAGTCACACCGACCTGAACATCAGCTTTATCCCCTGGATCCAACACTCGCCTCATGAGTTGCTAGCGTTGGGCACTGGCAGACATCCCGATGGCAGCATTCCTACTCGTGCCGATATTGCTGCAAATTCGAGCCTTGGCAAGCCAGCACCAATGAATACACAGGAGTACAAGGACGTCAAAGCGAAGATGAGCGAGATTCTTCTTAACGAAGAAACACTCAGAGAGATCCAAAGAGACGTATGGAGAGTACACGGGCGCGCTATGAAGAGAGGACTCGACGATGTTAGTCAGCAAAGCATGATGCGCAATGTTTGGAACGCGAGCGCCGAGGTAGCGGACGCCATTCACGGTGCTACTGATTACGACGTCTTCTGGGACGAGATGCATCACAACTCGAACTTGGCACAGGATGGCAGCAAGGGCACCTTGGGCGAGACAGAGTGGCGATGTGTCGATGGCGGCTTTAGCCGCTTCTCTGATGCTTTCCTACCACACGTCCAAGACCGCCTCATTCTGAACCGTCAGGTCCGGGCGATTGAGGCTGTCAAAGGTGGTCAGAACATGGTCACAGGCACAAAGGTCTCTTGGGTCGACGTTGATTCCAACAGAACCCAGACAAAGCCAGGCCCTCAACAGAGCAAAACCTACGACTATACAATGCTCGCAGTGCCTTTCACCATGACGCGAATGATGCGCCTTCCGTCTTTCTCGCCCACGCTGTCGCGGGCGATGGCTGAGCGCGGCCTCCGCTTTAAAGACGCCTGCAAAGTTGGATTGCTCTTTAGCGAACGTTTCTGGGAGAAAGGTGACCGTCCCATATTTGGTGGTTACTCAACGCCTCCTGACGCAGCTGTTGGAGCTCTCTACTACCCAGTGTACGGGCATAACGAGTCGGGGCGCCCAGGTCTCATTCTGCACTATCGTGGAGGCGATTGGAGCAGCCGTTTCGCCAGTCTCAGCGAGGAACAACACGTTGGTATGGTCCTCGACGCTATTGCTTCTTTACATGGCGAGCAAGTTCGAGAGCTATACACAGGCGTCTATGAGCGTTTGTGCTGGCTGGACGAGCCATTCATTGCCACTGCTTGGACACGCCCAGACGTGGCTCAGCATGCGTTGTACATCCCGGCATACCATCAGACTGAGTCGAATGTTATTGTACTCGGTGAGCATACGGCTCCCACACATGCGTGGATCAGCTCCTCTCTTTACTCTGCCGTTCGTGGTGCCGTTCAACTATTGCTTGAGATTGGTTTAGTCGATGAAGCTAAGCAGCTGAACCAACGGTGGATGGGACGATGGATTGATATGGAGTAGAATATAGTCGCCTGAATGTAGAAAGATTTAAGGGTTTGTGGATAAAAGTTATTTGTTGAAGGAATGTCTATGAGAGAAGAGCCGGTGGCGATAACTTGAGATAGTCCAGATAGCAGTGCAAGACCCGTCGAATCTTGCCGACGTAATGAGATTTCACTCAAAAACCATTGCAACAAGCGACGCTTTTAAAACCATTTATGTGAACCGCTTTCTCGTCCTCGAGTCTTCAATCTACCAAGCCATTGTCTTGCTGGAGCAAATCTGGATCGCAATTGGAAATAAGATAGCATATGTGCAATTCATCTACATAAGAATTGGGCCACCGCTAAGACTACCACCAACCTCCGGCACTTTCAATATGCCTTCGCTCACCAGATCGATCGCTAGCCTACTCAAAAGTCCATCACAGCCCCTCGCCGCAAGTATGCCTACCGCCACCGGCAGCTTCTCACTATGACCGGTGAGGGTGCTGAAGCTGGACACCTCACCCACTGGGTATATCAAGTCAGGGCATCCGGAAAAGACAGACATTCGGGCCGCTGAGAAGCCAGCGAATGGCGCTGGTGGCGCTATGTCGTATCGGTTCCTCGGAGACTGCGTCCCAGTCTTGCCAGCATATAGAATGAACCCGGATGAGCATTGCAGGGTGTCGTTGACCGGAGGCAGGATATGATCATTGAACCAGTTCATGAACATTGTCTTGTTCTGCATGGCCTCATCCCAGGAGTAGTTGGCAGCCCAAGCCCATCGTGCCAGTGGGGATGGGTTTACAAACGGCTGACGACCGTCAAATTGTTTGGCATAATCTGCAAAGAATGGCTGGACCACCGCACCGTCTTGACCCTTCCCAGTCAGAACTGGGTAAGTGATGTTGAAAGTCTGGGTGAAGTTGAGTTTGGCGTTGGGGTTCGTTTCGCGCGTGTCCCAGCGCTGAGCCACGTTCAGAGCGCTCACATTCCCACCCACAAACTTAGCCAATGCGGTCGCGAAGTTGTTTAAAAGTAAACCTGCCTCAGTGCTGGAGTTGGGATACGACACCGTCATGATCTTGGTCGGATACTTCGGCTTCAATTCCGCCAGAGAAGTGTAGTTCGAGCCATATGTGACAGCCTGAAGTTTATCCCACAGCTTTGGGTCTCGGGCAAGGAAGCCAACAGTATCCAGAGGCTCAGATAGCGGCATGATGTGATCGGCACTCACAGCTCCGTGCGATGCTCTATTGCCAAAGACGCCATTGACGCCTGCAGGGCTACGGATGCTGCCCCCTGTATCAGTTCCGACGGCAGCGTCGAGCCAACCATAAGTAGCAACAGAAGCACCTGCGCCCGAGCTCGAAGAGGATGGGTCCTGATAGCCATCTCCTCTCGGATTGAAAGGACTGTGGTAGTCAACCCAGTCCACAGTAGCAACTTCGCTCGTTGCAAACTGGGACAACTTCTGCGTACCTACGACGATGGCGCCGGCTTCGATGAGTCTCGAGATGGCTGTTCCCGTGACGTTATTGGCCGGGTATAAATGATACCATGCGCGGTTCCCATTTGACTGTTTAACTCCGGCCAGCGAGAAGATGTCTTTAACGGCAATGCGGACACCAGCCAGTGGCTTGATATTTGAAGGCTCGTAGTATAATCGTGAAGGCACGCCGATGGTGAACGTAGCTGAACCGGGAATCTTTGCTGACAAGACTTGAAAAGTGCCATCATTGTTGTCTAGCAAGGCTTCGGTGAAGGCACCGGCAGTATCATCGTAAAGACGGTACGCTTGATGTAGATCTCCGGTGCCTTTGCGCAGAAAGTAAGGGCCCTTCGGCACGTTAGACCTCGTTGTAAAGCTGACCACTGCCGAAGGTATCTCATTGGTAGTTTGAATGTCTTGAGCTATCGATGTGTCCGAGTTGTTTGTCTGATTGAGGAGCAGCCGCATGAATCCGGATTGAAATACGTCGTCAGTCTCCTCCCAAGCGGTGAAAATTTGGGACACATTATCCCCCCGGCTCGCAGCTGGCAAGACCGCGACCGGAACAAAATCCAGGATTTCCTCGACATCTTTAGGGACACCAGATTGGAGCGAGAGAGTTGCAGCGATGTGGGGGCTGATGAAGTATGGGATTCCGTTCAAAAGAAGAGTTAAGCCAGTGGATGTGATCTGCGATATGGCTAATGGCAATGCCATCAAAATCCATACTCGGATCATTTGCATTTTCATCGTTACAACCAACAGATGTAGAAAGTTGATTAGGTACACAACTAAGCTCAGAGAGTGATATCGCCCACAGAGGGGATGATTATTTAACGAAAGCCAAGGCCACGCTCAATCACCAAACATACAAGGTATGCCCGAGGACGACAATTTGGCTAATCTCATGCCTCGAGTACTTGCCGTAGGTGATCGCCCGAGAACCGGGCCTGCGCCCCCGCCTCCCCTCTTCTGCCAAGTTATCATAGACGAAGTAGCTCGGTGCATTCTTTTTTTTCGAGGCCCCATAATGAGTCCACATGGAGTCAACTTCACCTTGAGAGCTGCAGAAACGGACAGGGATCCGCCAAGAGTTGGTGCAAAAGTGGTACCTTGCTCTCGTCTCTCAGCGCTGCAGAGAACTACATGTATTCTCCACGCAGGATATCACCATGGGAAGTATTACCGGGGCTTTCTCCGATGCGTTCGTACCCGGATGGCGTAGTCAGGATCTCATTGCACACCGTACTAAAGCCGAGCTTACACGGAGTGCTAGGATCTCGCAGGCACAACTCACTCTTTACCGTAGCTATCACTGCTAGCTCCTGCAAGGGCATCACCCCTGCTACCTCATTGTAGAAGTGCGTGATCAAACCAGATACGCTGAAGGATTGAAGGGAGTGGCGTATGTCGCGCGGTACGCGGCGAATGATTTTCCCCGGTCTATGGCATGTAATGTTGTCTTCTTTACTTTCGTAGATTCAGGTGGGGTAAGCGACACGGACTCATACTCCACAAAAATCTTGTCCGTGCATGTTGACACTATCACGTCACATCTTACACCTCACGAACCGAACTCCCCCGCACACTCAATGGCGTACATTCAAACTATCATATATATCGTTGGTCTCTTGACTCTCAGTCTTGCCGGCCTTAAAGCAGTGAACTGGATTTCCATCTACACCCTTCCTTCGAGACTCCGCATCTATGCGCACATCTCTCCGAACGGGGATGCGCCCTGGGCCCTTGTGACGGGTGCTTCGGACGGCATTGGCCGCGCTTTTGCATCTGAATTGGCGACACAAGGGTTCAATGTCGTACTTCATGGACGAAACCATGCTAAACTTACGATCGTTGCGTCTGAGTTCCGAGAAAGATACCCCGCAAGGTCTTTCCGCATACTGGTGGCAGACGCGAGTGCCGTGCCAGGTGTAAACTACAATGGGGTTGAGCGGCCACTTCAACCCGTCGATTCATCACAGACTCACCCGGATTTTGCATCAATACAAGCGGAACTTCGTGATTTACATCTTACTCTAGTCATCAACAATGCGGGAGGCGGTCCCACCAACCCGGTCTTCTCGCCTCTCGTCGACTGCTCAACGGACAGGATCGCCAGCAACATCAGCCTGAATGCGCTCTTCCCACTTCATCTTACAAGAGTGCTTCTACCGGTTCTCCGCCAGAACGCGCCGGCCCTGGTGATGAACATTAGCTCCATGGCAGACGAGGGATTCCCTCTACTAGCGTCTTACAGCGCTAGCAAGCAGTTCCTCATGACTATGACACGTGCCGTGGGTCTTGAGCTGAAACTTGACGATGATAGTAGCAATGTGGAGTTGCTAGGTGTCCGGATAGGTCGAGTTACGAATGTTTCGCACTTGAAGGAGGCTCCGTCGCTATTTACGCCCGATTCACAGACTATGGCCCGAGCCGCCCTGGCACGTACCGGTCGTGGGCATGGGATAGTTGTTGGATATTGGGGCCATGCGCTGCAGCAAGCCAGCTCTAGCTTCTTACCGAGGTGGGCTAAAGACCAAGTCATGATGGCTATCATGCGTGAGCAAAGAGCTGGAGAGTTGAGAAAACAGTGAAATAAGACATGTAATTCTCAAGCAGGCGGCGCTTATGGAAGAGCACCTGTCAATCTGTCTCTGTATGGCGTGCAATCATAATGAAGGGGTGAACTTAACAAGTACTTTGGCAGAAAGTCTTTTGCTATCAACGTTGACGATATATTAACCCAGTCTGCCCGCTACATCAATGATGTATCTCAAATCTCCTGCTGCAGAGCTCCCAATGACCAGAATACCTATTCCGTACTCAGAATCGCCGCTGGCGGTGATTTTTCCTACCAGGAAATGCATCAATATGTGGCCAATGAAGTGCCTATCAGAGAATTGATCACTCACAGAAAACACCTCAAGAAAGTCGATACGAGGCTCGGTTAAGCGCTGAGTTGAGGAGCCCATGATAATGTGAGCAGCAAACGGCGAGTCGAAGCTCTTCCCGTTCACCAACTCCATATGGACCGATCCAAGCAAGACCAGTTCAGTCTTACTGCTCGTGCCCATGCGTTGGGTTGCCGCAAACCCTTTCGAGATACTGTGCCTCCTTGACGTCACTGAGGACCATGCACCCTCTCTGCATTTTGATATTTCTGTTGAGCATAGCACGCATAGGGCTTTGGTCAGCATAGAAAAAGACGCCCTTCAATTAATTAGATCACCGCGGGGGAAGACTTATCTTACCTGCAGTTCCATTAAATGTCCCGCTAGGACTGATGAAGGTTGCTTGATTCGAGAATACCTCGGTGGCTAGTCGATCTCCTGCATCCTCAACTTTGGAATCCGCGAGCTCATAGAAAGTAGCGATGAGGCTTTTGGCCTGGTAAGTGATAGAATCAGACAACCAGTCGGTGGCATTCGTGACGTAGCTCATTTTTTGTCAGGATTTGTTCGAAAAGTGATTGATATCATGACAGAGTAGTATGACAATGTGGCCAAGTAAATCTCGAAGAGAGAAGGTGTGGTGTAACAAGCTTCGAAGTAAGTAAATTCTTATTCGTGGATATAGCATGGCGAGCTGGAGATAAGAGAGAAATACTGTCAGCGTCAGATCACACACCTGTGGCTCGACGGTACGTCGCGTTTTAGGAAAACGCGAAGACGCGTTTGCCCATTCGCTTTTCGTCGCCTTTTCGTCTCTTCGGGATCGGGCTCGGGTTGAGTTCTGAAGGAGACCATCAAAGGATTGAGACGTTAGTCTCGACCAAGGTAGTCGGTCAGCTGGTGCTATCGCCTACATTTCCTCAAAGTGCCTTAGAAACGAGGGGAAACAAATGTCGTCAACTTTCCTGCTTCAATCTTTCACTTACATGAACTTTTGCTCAACACAATTATCTACCGCAATAGCTGCACGCCCAAAAGCACGATCGTCATCAACCTACAAAGTACTCCAAAGCTGAACTTAGAAGAAGACTGGTCAGAATTGGAAAGAAAGCATGTCAGAAATTTGCAAGGTTCTCGACTACGATGCTCCAGTTGGCAAGGTCAAGAGTCCATCGGGCCTCGCCCACGTTGTACTACGAACCGGCAACCTCCCCCGCATGGTTGACTTTTACACCACGTTCCTCGGGGGCAGCGTCACCTATGGCAATGAGTTGATATCATTCATCACCTACGACAACGAGCACCACCGTATCGCTTTGATCGGGGTTCCAGGAACGGCGATCAAAAACCCGGCGAGCTGCGGCCTTGAGCACATCGCCTTCTCTTTTGATACTCTGGAGGCTCTGCTGCTCGCCTACCGCCACCGTAGGATCCGGGGCATCGAACCCGTCTGGTGTGTCAACCATGGCCCTACGACTAGCATCTACTACAAAGACCCGGATGGCAACATGCTGGAAACGCAGGTCGATAACTTTGATACGGTCGACGAGGCCACTGCGTTCATGATGAGCGACGCCTTTACCGAGAACCCGATTGGTGTAGACTTTGATGCCGACGAGATGATTGGGGCCCTGCGCGCTGGAGGGGACGAAAAAGTGTTGAAGAAGCGGCGCGAGATTGGCCCGCGCGGATTGCCGGACTTTTCGAGCATGTGATATTATTTTGACTTAGCCGATGAGACTGTTCGTACTTGTTGTATAGTAGTAGTCACAATTGTCACAAGGAGTTTAGCTTGGGGTTACTGCAAGACTGAGAGTACAACATCCCGGGCTCGGCTTCGGCCTTGGCTGTGAGGCTATTGGACTGTCGGGTCCAGAACTCCATGTTATTACGTACCCTTGATCCGGGTTCGGCCCTGGTTTCCGAGCCCGAGTAAGTTGAAGTGTCGCATTTTGGGTTCATTTGACAAAGCTTCTGTTGGATTCTGGGTAGTCGGTAGAAAGGGTGGAATTAGAAAGCGGTGAAGGTACTTAGAAACGAACTACTTAATACCTACCTCGTTTAGAATCGTGGGCTTTACCTAATTCCTACTTTTTCTGTATATAATCTATACGTAGTCATATCATTAATTGACTCCGTACTAGCTGAACAGCTGCCCCTGCTGACGTGTATACTAACAATTTCTATTTGCTCAATCTACGAGAAAATCGTTTTCGTAGTGGCTTGATTGGGGCAACCATGGCCTCTATTAACTAAAGTTCCTAAGAGCGTTTTCTGATGGTGCATGCAATGAACCAGGTAATTAATGCTAGGAAGAGGCATCACTTGAGGCGTTATTATTGCTAGCAGCCATCAAAAAAGCTCATTCAACTTACGATCAACTACTTCATTCACATGGGATCTTTCGCCTGTGAAATAGGGGAATTAACCATCGACGTTTCATTTCAGTGATACGCATGCCCAGTAAAATAATTTTCCTCACCTCATCCTGTAGAAAAACAAGCCTCATGCCTTCAAATTTTTTGCCAACTTTAATTATACATTAATGGATAATCACTGATTGCTCGAACAGAACAAGAGTCTGGGTCATGGAACCGTTGGTGATCCTGAGAGGTAGACTACCACTGGACTTGGATTGAGTCTTCCATGTTGGGTACCGTAAAACCAGCGAGGTCGGAGTAAATCGTATGGCCATTCTGCGAAATTTCTATCTCTCGAACGCTCGCGACGCCAGACACAGGGTGGTCCTCTTCGCTAACGGTTTCCATTCGCGAAGGTTCGTGCTGGGGAGGCAAACTAGTGCCCGTGATGTTGGATGCACTGACGTCTTGGCTAGCAGTGATTGGATTGCGTGCGTAGACACCCGTCACCTCTGCTGACCTACCCTGCATAGAGGCATCACCCTGCAGGGACATTTCCATAGATGTCATGAGATCATCATAGCTCGTTGTGTTTTGGTTATTCCGGCTATCGCCCTTGTTCTTGTAACTGTCGACAACTCTCCGGGCCTGTCGGGCAAATTCTGTTGTCTTTGTAAAGGCAGCTTCGCCGGATGTGACATATTCGAGGCGACCAAAGAATCCAACGACTGTTTCCATGAGGGCTATGTCGCTCTGGTTACGGCTATCATATGGGTTGGACACCACATGGACGAAGATTGTAGTCAAGGCTGTGAATGGATAATAGAAGACGAGCCTTCCAGCATGTGAGAGGTTAGAAATAGTGAATCATCTGTAAGAGAGTAGTGGAGCGAGTTATCTGTCGTAACTGCGAAAACAGCCGAAGCTGTGTGGGGGTTTATGGATCGTCCAACAACCAGATTCCGGTAAAGATATAGAAGAGTGTGAGACATACCATGCCGGAGTGAAGCTCTCGATGTCCAGGTGCTTCGTGAGCAAGACAATGGACCTTGCAGCCTCTATGTGCGATATATGAGACTTTCTATCGATAAGGCGTTCCGCATCACGTTTTCCTTGATTGAACATGGGTGATCCACGTCGAAGAATGGAGCACAACGCGTAGTAGTAGGATGAATGTAGAACAAGGATTTGTACCCGTGATCCCCCCTGTCTCCCGAGGATTTTACCAAGTGGCCTACCAGGCCGGACCTTAATAGGAATAGATTTCAGCCAGCTCTCTAAATCCTGCAGCAGGCGATTCAATGCTGGCACTAGCCGAGATATTGGCATGAAGAGAGCGCTCGCAGAATACAAGGACCGGGATATGTCACCACCGATACGCGCAAGCTTTGTGAAGTATCGGAAAAAGTCGACGTCTAACTCTCCTTCGCCTGTCTCTGTGACGTTGGTTGCTGAACCCGGACGGGCCAAGTCGATTCCTCGCGGGAAAGTACAACTAATTTCTTCGTCGCATATGACCGCAGGTCGACCACAGCGTAAGGCAATTGACTTGTCCAGACAGTAGACTGCCCAGAAGACACGACTGCGCTCTCTCTTCTCAACATCAGAGAGACTCCATTCGGGAGGAGGGGCGCAGTTGAGTCCAATGCTCTGGGCTAACCGTAAAGCGACCGAGGAGAGAGTAAATTCGAGCCTCTGTGGACTGGACAGCCCTTGTGCAAAGATGGCCATCAAAGCCACTGCTTGCACAGCTATTAGGTCGGTGGCGCCGTGAACGATCTGGGACTCGTAGGATAGAGCTGACCGGAAGTATCCCCAGGCTTCAGAAACAGATGTTCGAAATGCCTCAGAAGTTTCATCGGAGAGTGAGGCTCGGAGCCCGGAAGCTACCACGACATTCAACAGCGCCAACCAAGACGGCTTTTGAACAACATCAGAACCATCTCCCATTTCAGCCAGCTGAGCGTGAAAGGTATTCCGGTCTAGGATGGGGAAGACAACTTGAACCTGCGTGAAATAGGCATCGATATACTCAAGCAGCTGCGGCCGAGAAATGTCTAGAATCCGATGAGGTGTTGATAGCGCGAGTGGCAAGTCTTGCGTGATGCACTTCGGCTGGCGAATATGGCTAAGGATGGCGTTTCGTATGTCCTGAACTGTTTCACAAAGGAGATCTGAGTCGGGTACTTTCTCTCGAATCCATTTCAGACCGAGGTCGGAAACGGTGGAGATGCCGGAGGAGGGGCCGGTGTATTCGTCGCCGTCGGTGGTTCGGCCCCACAAGGCCGGGCTGGTGTCTTTAAGGCTCTCCAAGTCCTCATCGCTGTCGAGGATTTTATCAAGTAGACTTTCACCTAGGGTAGAGGTGGAGTCGGCTGGAGTTTGGAGGATGACCTCGCTGTCGCGGGCCATCTGAGCAAAGAGGCTAGCCATGGAGTTGGAATCCATGGCTTGCCAGTCAGACTGAGCGGCAGGAGCGGCGATGGTGACGCTCCAGTCCAGAAAGTCTGATGCGGCGTCATTCTGCGCCGTTCCATCCGGCATGCGGTGTGTTGAGCCGGTGGTAGACTGGACGCACAGCCCTTGTTCAACATGGCACGCAGCGGCGCCGGCATCGGGCTGTCTCGGCAAGAAACGCTGGCCCAGGTCGATGACACTCGGGCTTTGGTCATTCTGAGAGGTGGAAAGACGTCTGTTGTCAGCGTCGGCTTCCGTCCAGCGACGTACCCGTCGCTCGCCGGCGTATGAACAGTGACTGGCTCGTTGTCTGCAGTTTTGGCAGACGGGTCGGACGCGGTCGCACTTGATTTTCTTCGCGCGGCATGCCTTGCAAGCCATGGCTCAAACATAAAGCGGAAATAAATAGTATAAGCCACGCGAAGATGGCTAGGTATGTGGAAGGGCGGTTGAGAAACGAAGAACAACATGAAGAATCTGTTGGTAACCGGTTCAAAGTGGAGCACCGGCAGGCCGGCAGAATCTCCACACGGCGCCAATGCTGCATCCTGCAACTTAAACGCGGGGTAACGGGAACGGAAAGATACATGTTTGGTACAATTTATTAGTAGCTCGAACCAAGCATTCTCAGCATATGGTGTGATTCCATTCAATATAACCTCGAGGAAGGCCCTCGCCAAAGTTTTCTAGTGTGGATCGATGTAGAAGTATACAAGTATCAGCAGACCCAAATCGTTGTATGTTTCCATGGCCGTCATTGAGAATACCTCACATGTATTTATTTAAAGTAGGTAAAACGGGGACAATGGGACTATGTCGAAATAACACTTGCATTGGGGTTCCCATTATCATCAGGACATTTTCTCTCGAAACTTTCGGCATCAGAAGTGGTTTTCTTGCTTGGATGTCAATACCCGACAGCACGAAGGCTATTCTCGATAGTACGTCGTCTGATGCTGAGTCAACCAGGCCGGTCACAGGGCATTTATCCTGCAACTTCGGCTTTTCGTGCCTATTGATGTTGCAGTATGAGAACAGGAAATGGGACATGGAAGCAGAGGGGGGGGGGGGGGGAGACCTTATGACCTGAAAACCTTAACGCATACACACTTGAAATAATAATCTAGTACTTAGAAGCATGATTCTATTTGCCTTACTCCTAAATGACTCTGTCGGCGGCAGTGGGGTTGCGGCGCCAATAGCATTGTCTCTTAGGGCTAAGCATCTTAGTATCAAACATCTTGCACATTATTACATCTGCCCCGCGAAGGCAGAGAAAGTCAGATACATTAAAGGAAGATGGGATCGAAGAGTACCATGGTTCATTTTGTACAAGAACATCATGATTACGATCTATATCCAAAAATCAGGCTGAAGTTCTCCCGCCACCTTGCTTGGATGATGCTCTTGACGATGTCTGATGCGCGATCCAAGGCAGCCTGAAATCTTTCCGCACCCTTCCTTGGACTGACAAAACAAACCTCCACACTTGAGATGAAGTTAGAAATGAGCTGCTTTTGAGGATAAGAAATGGAAGAATGTGATACTTACGAGTCATCGTTCACCGTGTAATTCATCCACACATTATCCGGGTCCTCCATCGTGTAACCAGGATCTTCAGCCAGCTTAGTCTCGATCATCGTCTGCATGATCAGTCGTGGACCGCTCCTCTTCCATACTGGATCAGAGAAGAGCTCTGGGACATCGTTGGGCTCCTGCTCCTCACTCATCATCTCAAGCACGTCCATGAGTCGGAAGTAGTTGCGGCCTTCACTGCCTTTAACAATTTGCGCATTGCACTCTCTTGCCGCATGTAGCAGCTTGTTCCTTGCCTCAGCGCGCGGCACAGTGCTGTCCAACGCAGCATTGCAGAATTCGACGACTGATTTCAGAACCACCTGCACAATTTCCGGGCGGCCGAGGTAAAAATGCGCTGTCGAAACCGTTTCCCAGCTAGCAGGGAGATAGCCAAAGTACAGACGGCTTGCCAGCTGAATCGTCAGGTCGACTGTCGCTTTGATATGTGCTGAATGTTCGAGGAAAATCGATTTTCCAAAAGAAGTGATGAGGTGTGGTGTGTATTGCTTCACACTCGTGACAGCTGAGTATTTCTCGCGGAGCGTCTCGATCTGGCCCTCGATCTCTGCAGTTGTGAACAGAGGGACCTCCTCAAGGCTGGCGGTGTGAATGCCCTGGCTCCTTTGGTCCATATCGTCGTCATCGTGCCCAAGAGTGTCGATCGCATTCTGCAGGCGCTTAGAGAGTTGCGAGATTGTCATAAAGTCAATCATTGAATGTTCAAATATGCTTCCAGAGCGACCATTAGCAGTGACCAAGATCTGGAAGCTCTTGTCGTGCCAACGGTTGAAGGAGTCTCCGAGATATCCATAGCGGATGCGCTCCTCACGCGTCACTGGGGTGCTGTCATCCAGGCACAGGACAAAGACGGACTTCTCTATCGTGTCGAGATATGACGTATTTCTCTCGTCGTACGAAAGCAACTCCCGTCGATTCTGTAGATATCTAAGTTAGCTCGTCGATAGAGATGTCGGATGTGATGAACGCATGTGCCTACCGTAGCCCATTTGTCACGATTGTCCGTGGTCAGCATGCCCGTCCATCTCTTCTCCTCAAGGGTCAGGCCTAGGATAGCCCCAAATACTGCCCTTAGATGTTGATGCGACACGATGTCATCTCCCTGCTGCAGGACAACTTTGAAGAGGTGACCTCTCCGAAGAACAGCTACGTACTCGTTGCCCGGGTACTTCAACATCTTATCGCAGCCTAAATTTGGCTCCCTTAAGGCGTTGAACAACCACAACAGGGAATTGCCGCAATTCGCCTTCTCCCCTAGGTAGTCAGGCTCCAGGTTGCCGTTGTCGCGATCACGTTTGAACTCGCATACTGCCCTGGTGAGCGCAGCCGCTCGCTCAGCTTGAGAGTGCGTGGTGGTGCTATCAAAGTGGGTGCCGAGAAAATTGCTGTATGGGGCCAAAGGATATCTACGCTTGTTGTGCAGTGCCTTCAACAAGGGCTCAGCGATCCAACTCTCGACTGTCGGATCCTCGGCCTTGATACGCAGCTGATTGTAAAGCTTACGACCGATACTGTTGGGTCCAACCAAAGCATGAGCCTTGCGACTAAGCTCAGAATACTCTTCTCGGTTGAGGGAGAAGTGACCGATGTTGTTAAGGAGGTCCTCGACTGCTTCATCAAGGTCGACAAGCGGATATCTTGGGAGCTCCTTCACGCTCCTGCAACAGTAAAAGCCGTGACAAGTTTCTTTGTTTTGACTCAAGCTCAATCGTAGGTGACGTCGAGATGGCATTGGCTCTTGGCGATTTGTGGTAAATGTCCGCGCTCCCTCAAACGCTAATTCAGGGAAATAACCAATTCCTAACGCAGGGCGTGGAGTGTCTACGACAAAGCAGTCATTTCTTATTATTCCAGCAAGTACAAACCTGCACCCTTACCCAAGGAGCCGAGCTACAGTCCGGCGGATGTCAGCATCATAGTTCCGACAATCGATACTGAGTCGACATTTACGGAATGTATGCGTCTCTGGCTGAAGTCAAAGCCACGAGAAGTCATCATCGTGACAGTTGAGCGAAATAGAGACCGCATCGTGCGACTATTGGAGCCTCTCAAAGAGGATGCTGACAAGATTGTCATCCTCTGTGCGCCATTAGCCAACAAACGAGTGCAGCTGGTTGTGGGTGTCAAGGCTGCTCAAGGTAGTATCCTCGCCTTGGTGGACGACGACGTGTACTGGCGGGCTGCAGGTGTGCTCCCATATCTCTTGGCACCTTTTGAGAATGCCAAGGTCGGTGCAGTTGCTGGCATACAGAGGTCTGAAAACCCTCGCTAGTCGATCAGAGTGAAACCAGAATGTAGTTGAGAGCTAATTAATAAGACAGTGCTGAGATCCGTACTGATCGCCAAGATCCAAACGTTATAACGGTATGGGAAGCCACTTCGACGTATGACCTATGCCAGTGGAAGGGTTCTCGCGAGGTACACTTTGCTGCCGACGGAGGCTGCTGGTGTTTGTCCGCTCGAACGCTACTCATCCGCGCTTCTATCCTACAAGATCCATCTTTTGTTGATACCTACACCCACGAGATTATTGGCCATAAGTTGGTGAACACTGCGGATGACGTTGTCCTGACCGGTTGGGTGTTCGATAGCGGATGGGAGGTCTTCATTCAAAACGTTCCCGAAGCGGAGATCACCACCAATATTCCTGAGGACCATAAGTTTGCCTTGCGGATTCTTCGTTGGGACAGAGGAAACTTTCGTACGTTTCTCGGATACATCTTCGTCCACCCAGGACTCCCAAAACTGATGCGGTAAGCGTGACAAATGGCCCGTCGAGTGTTTCTAGGCTGATTCAATATTGTCAGGAGGCATCCATACACTACTTTCAAGATGATCGAGCGGCTCGCTCGACCAATTTTGGCCTTAATGTACCTATGGGCTTGGCTTCAGACTCTGAGCACAGTACCTTGGATTGCGTGAGCTTATTAACCATCTTCGAACACCTCCCATGACGCAGTACCCTTCTGACTGGCTATTCACGATGGATTTGCATTCTTGGCTTGGGTGATAGGTGGCTGGGGCGGATGGGTTTCGTCTTACAAATCCTTCCTCAAAAAGTACCCCTACTGCGGCCGTCAATGGTGGGAATTCATCGTTATGGATCTGTTTGGTCCTGTCGTGGACATCTATGTCTACTTCACGATGAACAACAATAGCTGGTTAACAAGAGTAGCAGACATTCAAGAGATGAAATAAGCCGATGAGGATGTAAATAGAAGTTGACTTACCTTTTAATGATCTATTATCTCATTTCTTCGCCGCAATCACGATTGAACTCTTCCTTCATAGATGAAAAGTCGGCGGCTTATGTGTACTTCTCTATAAATTACTCTTTATTACATGCATATATGCGTCGGACCATCCTCAGGGTACCCAACTTGCCAACGGGGCTTTCAGACACATATCCCGAGTCTAGACTGAACTAGGGCAAGATGCTCAGTACAAGACGCAGAGCTATGGATTCTTGTGAAATTACTTCTCCGGAACTTCTTCGGCTGAGGCTTCAGTAGTCGGACGCTTGGTGTCAGGTATCTGTCGCCACTCCATGCCCCAGCTCACCAACCAAGCTAGGGCTGGGGTAGCAAGAGCAACCCAAAAAACGTTCTTCAAGGCAGAATTGAACGCCTCAACGACAGCATCCAGGACCTGCGGGGGGACAATCTTCCTGAATTCCCCTGCACCAACTTCCACCACAGCCGCAGCATCGATTCCCTCAACCCGAGTAAGACGCCGTAGTAATGCATCTGTGAATAGATTCTGCCCGATACTAGGAGCCAAAGCCCCGCCCAGCATCTGGAAGAACATAATGATCACGAGGCCCGTTGGCACATCTGCCTTCTTGAGGACCACCTGAACAGCAAGGATTGGCATTTGGCTACACATGCCGTAACCGACTCCGGATGCGATTTGGGTTCCGATCCATTGACCGCGTGGACTGTGAGGATTTATAAGCTGGTAGAGGCCGCCTCCGATAGCCTGAATTGGGGCACCAATCCACATTAAAGGAACATAGTGTCCAAACCGCGACGAAATCCATCCAGCACAGATTGTGCCAAGACTATTGGACACGATGATGGGCAATAAAAATATACCTGAGTCTCTGGCGCTATTATTTCTCACGGACTGGAAATAGATTGGCCAGTAGTATGAGTTGAGCACGATGGCCACTTGTACGAGCATCATGAACCCACATGATGCCACGACGGTTCGGCCCCGCAATATACGGAGAGGAACAGTGGCGCTGAGGTAGTGAGCGTCAGTATGCAATCGGATGCAAAGCAAAGGTCTCTTGGACCGGTTTACACTGGTAACTTACGTCTCTTTGCCCCGAGCTTGCAAACCCACGAAACAAAGCAGCAGCAAGCCGAATCCGATGAGGCAGCCAAAGACTTTCGGGTCTGACCACGGATGAACAATTCCTCCCCACTGTAAAGCCAGGTTCAGACATGATGTTGCACTGAGAAGTATAATAGCGCCGAGCATGTCGAGTTGGCGTAACTTATCCTGCCACGGCAATCCTTCCTTGACAGCAGGTGGAGGGTTCCTCAAGCTGAACCATATCAGAGCTAGTCCGACAGCTCCAAAGGCTAAAGTCCGTCAGCTGAGGGCTATTGAGAAAATAGCGGGCGGTCAACTTACGGAGGTTGAGCCAAAAGATGAATCGCCATGTAAGAGTCTTGCTATCAGTTATGGCGCCACCAACAAGCGGCCCTATCGCCGATCCGGTGCTGTACAGACCCAAGATAACCGGTGACAACTTTGCCTGCTTCTTCAAGGGGACGCAGTAAGACAGTATAGTGGTAGTCCCACTCACCAGCCCGGCAGCGCCTACGCCAGAAATGGCTCTTCCCACTATGAGGGTTATTGAATTTGGCGCGACGGCTGAGATGACCGAGCCGAGTTCGAAGACGACAAGGGACGTGCAGTACACCCATTTTATGTTGTAAAACGCATAAAGTCGGCCGCAGGTCGGTAACATTGCCATTTGAGCTATCAGATAAGAGGATCCATACCAGCCGATATCGTTTAGGCTGTGGAAGTCGCTTGTGATCTGAGGTATCGCGGTCGCTTGTTGTGCATTATGTTAGGCAAGGTTTCGGTCATTTATCGTGGTTGGGAGAGTGTTTACGGACCCAAGATAGTATTATCCAGTGCCAGAACGAAGCAAATAGCCATGAAGGCAATGGTCAGAGAAGCAAGAGCCCATCCTTGCATGTGGGCCGTAGTCTGCTGCTCTCCCTCGTTCTGTTGGTTCTCGAGTTGATTCGCAGTTGCTTCAACGGGCGGAGACGACTTCGTAGGATCGGTCGTCATTTTCTTGTCGAGAAGGGTTTCTGAAAGAGTCGTCGTCAAGACCAACGGGACTTTCTGAGATTTTGAGAAACAGTGATTGTAAGTTCTTGAGTCGAGGAGTAGATCTGCTTGCTCAATAAATACGAACTTGTTGGGGTGACCGTCTGGAGCACAAAATCTGGTTCGTTGGATAGCCGGGCGGTGTGATCCATGCTAATCAGGCTAAGATGTTCCCTCTTGGCACTGTGGCAGTCTCGACCTATGAACGTGAGGTGGACAGATGACCGAATGATGCAAATAGCGGCACAGCCCGTTGGTCGCAGTATCTGGAGTATCCTCCCTCTGTGCGTCGCCTGAGGTTCAAATGTTCAATTTCTCTCCCAGGCCCGACGGGATACCGGGTTCTTCCCGCTTAATTCCCGCTAGGCCCCTATTGAGTCCTATTGAATCGCAACAAAGTAATATCATGTAGGGTAAATATGGAATCGGCCCAATACCTGATAACAACACGAACCGATCATCAGCTGTTATAGGAGGTCCAATGTGCATATGTACGAGTCGGTCGAGATCCTGTGTCCGAGGGTGGAGTTGAGATGTAACCCCGCTGGCCCGCCTGCTCGTCAAGTCTGTTCCCACCGAAGCTCAACTACGTCCAAACAAGTTACACTGGGTTATGGGTGGGGGCGTCGCCGCGTCGGCAGACCTGCCATATCCGTTAGTGTTTGGCCAACTGGGTATGGTACCCCGGATCGTGCTACATCCATACAATATGGGGTTGAAGAGTGAGGGCGCTAAGAGGAGACCACCTAATGCTGGACAACGAACACATAAGCCTCACATTATGAGTGCTCATAATATCTGCCCGTGTGGTGACTTGATAACTAGGTATTCTCCCTCTCATTCAAAAACATCACTTTTTGATCACACATTATGCTTGATGGTCTCAGCCACCTGAATGGCCAAGGTATTGATACAATGCTCAGGAGTTCGGTGTGCGATAATAATCATGTTGGTTCAAAGAGCCTATTTTAAATCTGCAGGGGCCATGAACCAGATTGTGATCAGTCATCTGGAGGGCTTTATCACGTTCCTGTAGCGGAAACCAGCAGCCCGGTGGGTTTTCACTCTTAAGCTTCTTCGAACTTGAGCGTAAAAATGAATTACTTCAAGCTGGCATCTCCCGAGCTCCGTTATCTCTGGGCCTGCACCCTATTTTTAACACGGCCTGTTAGATGTTGGGTCTCAAATATCGGGCCTCCAATGGATGATGGCCGACAAAAAGGCGAGGAGAGCGTAATATTGACGGAAACAGTAAATGTGGTGGGCTATCGCGAGCAGTGGCAGAGTTTCTAAAGCTATTTGGTTGAAGTATGTTTCTATCCACGAATACAGGTGGCTTAAGCGAGGGCTTTTCGCCAAGCCTATATAGGCTATCTTTCACTTGATAAGGTTGCTCAAACTCCTAATGAGCGCAAAAAATACCTGCTTAAGTAATTACCTGCAAGCCTGCTCTCCTAATCGCACTTTTCCCATCATTTATGTATTGTCAGTGCCGGGGAGCTGAGGAAAACTACTAGACTGGCAGTCCCAAAAGGTATTTTCTTGTTTTTCCAATCAAGCTGAGCCTATTGATATACTTTCCACTAGACACTGCAGCAAAATAACCTCAATTACTGGACTTTGTCGTATGGTCTCAGCCCATCCTCAGATCCTTGAGGATCACCCGTGCCACCACCCTCTGCAGCTCCGGAGGCCTTGCCGACCATGCAGCAGGCTAACGATGATTCGTCACATGTACCCAGCTTGTACCAGCCTAGCCCAGATCGAGCTATCAATAACGTATGTTTATTTAAAATGATTTATTTTGAGTGTCCGCCAGCCTCTCCCAACCTAGCATCTGGTAATAACCTTTGTTATTGGCGATACATTGTGACTTGGGTCATTCCAAAAGCAACAGGTCCGACAGACTCAACTAAAGAAACTCTTCTCCGTCACTATGTCTCACGTCTACACATCTATATCAGCACTCACCTCTCTTGAATTTGACTCATATCCTCTCGGCGCTATTAAGGCCAATGGGTGGTTCCAAGATCAGCTCCGACTTAGTGCAAAAGGTCTTGGAGGCAACTTGTTCTACTTCTATCGTTTCGTCAAAGAAAGCACTTGGCTTGGGGGTACATGGGAGTACACCCCCTTGGACGAGGCAGCTCCGTACTGGTATAACTACATTGTTCCCTTGGCATACACGCTTGACGAGGCATCAGATCCGGATTTGTACATCGAAATCAAGAAACAGGCGGATTATTTTCTTGATTACACGTTATCTCACCAAGCTACGGATGGCTGGCTTGGACCAGAGACAACGCCCCATACTCGCGGTATCTGGGCGCGCTGTCTTTTGCTGCAAGGCCTCAGGAATCATGCCATTGCGGACTCCTCAAAACGGCAGACCATCATGAACGCGATCTTCCGTTTTGTTAGACTAGTGCACGCCATGCTCAAGGATAACTATGCGGGGTATATCCCACAGAAGGACGATGTTTTCGACTTACAGCTCTTTGGTGTTGCCCGCGCCCATGAGCTAGCACTAACTCTTCAATGGCTCTACGACCAAACACATGATACTC